GGGGCCGTGCCCTCTTACCCGGTTGGCACGCACCAGCCCCTGGTCAGCGCGGCTCCCGAGACAGCGCCGACCGAAAAGCTGGGCTGCAGCGTGGGCTGGGGCCCAGCAGCCGTGTTACGGCACAGAGCGGGACAAGCTCTCGCTGGCGCGGCAGTGTACAAAGCTGCAGTTGTTGTAAGGCCTGGGGGATTAGGCAGTCGCGTTTAAATGCCCTGCTGTGTCTGCTGGCTGGAGGTGCTTCCAGGCTCTGCAGGTGACAGCATGCAATGCAAGCTCTGCTTGGTTTGGTGGGAAGGGTTTAAAGGCTTGTAATGCCCGTGGCCAGGAGCGTGTATGGGACAGGGGAACCATGAGGAGGACCACATGTGGAACAGGTCAGTGCAAGCATCTCAGCCTGGCCTTTTTAGCTGGTGCTGTGCAAAGGCGTTTGCATGTATGGTGGTCTACTGTAGCAGTGCTTTGGGGATGGGCAGGGGGAATCCAGAACCTCCACTCCACTGCAGAGGAGAGGTACAGCCTAGGTACCTCAATGGCTGGTGGCCGTGGTAGGGACTGTGGAGTGCCAGGTGAAGCTACTGACCTTTCTTGCCCTGTGAGCCACATGTCCTCGTATGGCTGGGAGACACAGGACACATACCGCACATCAGAAATCTTTAGGATTTGTCTCCAAGGGAGTTGTAGTTCCAGATCCTTTGGGGTCCCACCAGATAGATGGATGAAGGCAACTCTTCCAGTTGAAGTGGGATTGCCCAGTTCCATCCACCTTGCTTTTGAAGGAGGAATCATGCTGGAAACGGCAGTGCCTTGAGATAGTGAGGTGTGCCTTGGGAGTATCTTGTTTTCGTTTGAATTTGGCATTCCACATTATTTGCAGCTTTCTTGGGGTGATCTCAGTGCCAGAATGTGCTGCAAATACCATTTCACTGTGAGCCAGGCCACCAGATCCTCCCGGCTTCCTTGTCCTAACCTTTGCGTTGTTTTTTTGTGAACACACCGACAGCTTGAGGTTTATTTCTGTAGGCTCTGTAAGTTGATCTTTCCGTGACTGCTGGGGAACAGTATTGCAACATTCCTGCCTCTTCAGCTAAGGACATCGTTATGAGGCAGAGTGTATTTTTATGGGATGAACTCATCCGAGCTCCCAGGGTATGAGTGGAGCTGCGCATTCCTGGTATGTGCCTCTTTCTCCTGCACCATCCATGCAGTTCCCATTGAAATGCACTTGTGGAGTTCTTGTGCAGGATTAGCCATGTGCTGCTGCACTTCTGCTGCAGATGATGACCTTAATGGCCAAGGACACAGGACAAGGCAACCTGGCCACATCTGGTTTTACTCCGTCTTTGAGTCATAAGCCTGTATATGAGAGTACGGCTCTTTGCAAAAGCACTTTTCCCTCTCTGCTCTCTCTTTTCCCTGAACATGGTTGCCACCACTGTCAACAGGTCCATTCCTTGTCCAGTGCTGAGTCCCACTGAGGCAGTTGGCACAGGGAACATCCTGCGCTCTCCAGAAAGATGCTTAGTCCCACTCATCCATAGCTATACGAGAGCATCCCTCCAGGGAGGTGGCACTTAGCTCACTGCTAAGGACTTGGGAGAAATCCCTGGCCCTGCTGCTCCCAGGTTCGCACTGTGGTTTTGGGAAGGCATGACTGGAAGGAGCAGGGGTGCTAGAGAAAGCAAATGTGCCAGTACTAGCAGTGAAACCTCTGTCATAGTCTTTATGAAGAAGATGTGTCACAGACAAGGAACAGATTGATGGCTCCATTAGGGCATCTGCCTCTTGCTCTTAATGGTGAGTTTGATTCTTTCACCATGGGGATACCAAAGCAAGGAAAGGGAGAAAAGCAAGAGAATGGGTGAAGGAATCTCCCCTAGAAATGCCCCTGGGAGAGTTGTATCCACACCATAACTTACCCACACTGAGTACCTGCATCTGCTTTGCGCTGGCTGCAAAACGCTTTTGGGGTAGCATCACCAGACTGAAGAGCTGCGGGAACTGAGGAAACATTTCCTAGCTTTCCCAGTGCCTGCGTCCTGTTCCTCAACTGGTGATGGGAGATCAGGGCTAATTAAAACCTTTATGTGGAAACTTATTTTTTTTGTATGAAGGACTTATTCATAGAAGCCCAGCGGTCCTGTTTTCCCCCTTTCGTAAAAATAGCATATTCACTCTGATGGTGATGTGATATTTTGCTCCAGAAGGGCACATTTTTCTACATGTTCTTTCCCCCATTTATTCAGCTAGCGCCCATGACTTCATTTATTTATTGTAAATAAACAGCTGATACCATTTCTTGCAAGCTCGCTTCTGTGCCGCTCTTTGTTACTGCTCTGGCAACAAAACACTTAATTGCCCTTTGTCAGGCAGCAAATTTTTTGTACCCATTTGGACAGGGCTGTTTTAGTGTGACATTGTTAATTAACCCTGTGGCTCCCAGTCAGGTCCCGGCTGGAAACAGAGCCAGCCCGGCTGTTAAGACCAAAGGATTAGCTGATTTGAGTTCTGTAAATCCGTGGCATTCACGGTGCCTGTTTGGGGATTTTTCTGTGGAGATGGAAGGTGGGAAATATCTAAAACTGAAATGAGTCTGGGAGACAATTTTGGTAATTAAAGGCTCAATCCTGATTTCAATTTACTCATGAAGTAACTATGCTAATGGCCATTAGGGCCCACCTGGATTTCAGTTGTTATGATGTTGAGCATCTCTGGTACTGAGATGTTAATGACTCTTTACTTAGCCTGCAGGAGCACATACAAAAGCCAATTTTTCGGCTCGATCTGATAAGCCATGTAGCTTCTGGGTAGATATGTCTGGCTGTTATCTGGGATCCATCTCAAACTAGGTGCAATTACTGGATGTCCATTGTGCTTGTGTCAGTGGGAGCTTGGAGCAGACCTTACCCGTGGGATGTTGGTTGTTATCTCTGCTTGAGAGTGGTCTGTGCTTGGATTTGCAGGAGAGAGGTTGCAGGACAGGCTTTGAAGGGGACTGGCAGAGTGATCATGAGCAGGCTGGTTTTGCTGAGCTGTACCCGTGTTATTTGGTTTAGGGCAAGGTTGGTACAAACGTTGCCTCCATGCGTTGCTCTGAGTCCAGAGCTGACATGGGATGAGGTTGATAGCTGTGTGTTTCCATCATGGCTGCCAACCGCCGGCTGGGACCAGCCCAGCCCTGTTGTGTGTCCCTTTCAGTTCGCATGTTTGGGCTTTGCTGCAGGTAGAGTCTCGCAGTGGCCTGAGGGGACTCTTTTTCCGCTGTGAGAGACCCATTTATCTGAAATGCCTTCTCTTCTCCTGCAGGTTCTCCAGGTCAGATGAGCTGTCCCGGCACAGGCGCTCCCACTCAGGGGTGAAACCCTATCAGTGTCCCGTCTGCGAGAAGAAGTTTGCTCGAAGCGACCACTTGTCCAAACATGTCAAGGTGCATCGGTTCCCACGAAGCAACCGCTCCATCCGCTCCGTGAACTGATTGGTCCCGCTTTCCCCTTCCCGCCCAGCCATCCTACAACAGCCGACGACAGCACTTTGCTCACTATATTTCTAGTGATAATTTATTTGTCTCCACAAAACAGTCAATGCTGTTACTTGATACCACCATGTCTCAGTGTCCCATGTCCTTTAAAGATGATTTGAGAATGAAGTTCTTTTTGGGTCAGGGGAGGGGGGTGCTTCTTCCTTTTTGTCTTTTTTTTTTTTATAAGGATGTTATTTTCCTTTCCTTCTATCTTCCTCTCCTTTGCTGCTGCTTCTTTTGGAAATTACAGTGTTTTATTTTTAGCTGTTTTCTGCTGCACAGGAGAATGTAAGAGTTGCTTGCTGCTGGTTAATTATAGCCCTGGCATTCC